AATGCTGTGTTCCTTTACACCTTTTTAATAATTAGCTTTGTGTTAAGATATAATTAAAACTCCTTGGCAAATATAGAAGCCTTAGAAGGGCAGTCTTTTTTTGCTGGAATGCGCTTTGTAAAATACATTGTGAAACAACCAGCTATTAGAGTTCTTTCTGCTGCATCTGCTTTTGGAATTTAAAGTTAAATAGCCAAGATAAAACAAAAATTTGCGAGTTCATTAAGATTTTGCTTTATTTTATCAAATTATGATAAACTCAGCAAATAAATATACTCGAGATACATGTTTTTCAATTTTTTTTTAGGAGAAAAGCTTTATATTTGTGGCTTTTCTAGGTACACGTTTCTCACAAACGAATGTATACTAAGGTAGCAATGATTAGTTTCTGATGAAACTGATCAGTTTCACAATAAATGCACTTAAGAACCAATTATGAACATAATTGTTTGTGGTTTTTATTATTACTATTCAGTTATTTCACTTATTTTTTACTGTAGACTTTTTGTCTCATTTCATTATCCCTCGGGATAAATAGGGCAAATGGAAAGGGAAACGGGAGCCTCTTAGTTTAGGTGTTTGGATGTCACGTTGTGCTACTTTTTACTTTTGAACTCCGAGGAGCAACACGAGGGTGACCAGTTACCTAACCTGTATTTTTTTGGAAGGGTGCATAGAAAATTCTGGAAAATAGGGAATCTGTTTCAGAATAGTGACTGGCACCTATTTAAAGGATAAGGCTGGGATTTTTGTTTGTTTTTTTGTTGCCGTTCATTTTTTATTTTAGTTATTTTAGAGGCTGATGTTTTGGAAGCCCACAGCAAGTATTGTATGGCGATGGCAGAGGTTTCTGATTTGCTGTATTTGGGACACTGTACTTAAATATATGCAGATATCATTAATAGTTTTAATGGCAATACTCTGTGCAAATTCATTTGATTGTAGTGTAGGGTAGTCATCGTATGAAACTATTACTATGTGAATTTAGTAATATTCCATCTGATACTAAATACTGTATACTATATACTATAAGAATTGTACAAAAATTGAATTTAGTAATATTCCATATGATACTAAATACTATATACTATAAGAATTATACAAAAATTGCATATTAAAATCAGCACCATGTGGTTAATCCAAAGTGATTAAAAGGAAACATTTCCTTTGATTTATGAATACAAGTCAAAGAAAGAAAAATGTATTTCATTTTTAGATTATATAAATGGTGGAGAACTTTTTACTCATCTTTCTCAAAGAGAGCGTTTCACAGAGCACGAGGTGCAGATCTATGTCGGAGAGATTGTGCTTGCCCTTGAACATCTCCACAAGGTAAGATGTTAACTTTTGGGATTCTTTTTTTTTTTTTTTTCCCCTGAAAAATTTATTAACTGAAATAATGATGGAGCTAAAAAAGCTAATGTTTTTACCTGTCATTGCCTTTGTGGAGATTGCGAAAGCACAGTTGTAGACCGTTATTCAAGTTTCTCAATTTCATAGTTCCTTTTAAAATCTATTTTCCTCTTGTAAGTTCCCGTGATGCAGATTTAAAAGGTAGACCCTGAGCAGTTCTTTGGGTTTGTTCATGAAACATCCTAATACTTATTGCAAAATATCATCAGGATAAAATTTTTCATTCTTAAAATAACCTTTAAGATGAAACCACAAGTCATAATATGTATTTCCTTAATTGTGACTTACTCCACTGGAGACTCTCCCTGTACATCTTTGGGGTATATTTCCCGGTTTGGTTGGAGACTGAATTATTTGAAAGAAACACCTATCTGTGGTGCCCAGCTCTCCCGCCGTCCGACTCGGGCTTTCTTTTCCGTTTGTTTTGTCTGTGAGACCCTCTCCTACTTCCCTCCCCTCCTTCCTCCTTCCATCGCCTCCTTCTAGCATGAACTCAGTTACTAAAAACTTTACGTGATGCTGTTTCAACTCTATAAAAAGTTTAAACATTTAAAAATATATTGTTTCAGATACTATTGATCTCGATCCAAGAAACTCTGACTTCAAAAACTTTTTTATTTTTAATTAATGAGGAAGCATTATTGTAGAAGCACACAATCATTATGTAGGAGAGACCTGCGTCTCAGAAATAGAAAGTACTAGAGTAATTTTTACCAGAAGTATGTGAGACCATAAGGAGATCAGCTTGGCTCGAGTCATTAGATTAGGGCGGTACAGATATGTCATAAAGCCACTGTCCTTCTTTGTTATGCTTTCAGATCCTACACTAGATTACAGATAAACAGAGATTAAAGTGCTGATTATGGGTCATGGAAAAGAATGGAGAGAAATAAAGGAAAAAGGCAGGAAGAAGGATGAAATTTTTAAAGGGGCAGGGAGATTGGAATTGCGAGATGGAGGCAATGGATAGGAGAGGCAGTGAGAAAAAATGATGAGGAGATGTAAGAAGGAAGGTCTCAAAAAGTAGATCTGTCCCAGAACAGAAACGAGACTGGGCAGGGGAGGGAGCTGGGGTTCAGAATAGAAATCGTCAGGGGAGTGAATGAAAAATGTGTAAGAACTGGAGGTGGAGGGAGGGAGGATAGACTCGGGGCGGCAGGGCTGCAGTGCTGTGGGAGCTGAACCAAGTGATGGAAACGGACATCTGTTTTCCTCCGCTCATGATGATTTTGTGGGACATAAAGTAGTTAGGACATCTTTATACATGACCCAGATCAGACCCAGGAATAGGCTGAAAAGGTCTTTGCATTTTTGCTTAGGAGTATTAGATATAATTTTTTTAAATGTTAAAACGTGGTGGAAGTCACCATAAATTCCAGAATAAAATCTAACAAAATACAAAGTTCCTATGAGAAAGTAGTTTTTAATTTGTTTGAAAGCTTTAATTCTGTTAATTTTGTTTATTAAAGGGAAATCCATGAGCATTTATTATTATTAAAACAGGTAATCAGAAACACGGAAGTAGAGGACATGAATAGTGGATGTAAATGTAACACAAAGTGAAAGCAGTATAGCAAATCAGAACTCAACTAAGTTTCTCTTAATCTTACTACCCTAAAAAGATAAATACAAAGAAGTATAACACACAAAGTGAGTTTTATTAACCTTGATATAGCTGCTAACACTGAGTTTCCCAGGAAGAGACAAAAAATGGGAGTTTATTTGGAAGTGATGAGGTAAAGCAGACACTAAATGAATTATTCCTAAAGTTTTCTCCCAAGAGAATATTAAAAATAAAAAGTCATGTTGGTTGTTAGATGCTTGTAAGGCGTCAAGTCAAATGTCTGTTCAGTGAACGGTAGATGTTTCCTTCTTTCTTGTAGAACACTGAGGTTCTTAGAGGAAAATTTCCTAGCATTGTTTGTTTTTGGTATAATTCGTAATTTCAGTTTTAAAAGATTACTAAGAATCTACTTTTTCATATACTTAATATTGAGGAAAGCAGTGCTTGTAAGTTTAAAAACATTTAATTCACACTGATATAACATGAAATGTGGAATTCACATATACCGAGCCCTTCTTATCTGACGGGTAGATTTTATATGGCTGAAGCGTTTTACGATAAGAATTTCACATACAAACCAAAATGAAGGGATATGTAAATATTATCTAACTGACTGACTTTGCTTATTTAGAACTAAAGAACAACTAAAATTAACCAATGATCTTCAACTTTTATGTTTAGAAGCCTATTAATTATTTGACACTTGACACTGTGCTAGATACTAGATACATATATAAAAAGTGGAAAAAAAAAATGGTATGGTTATATCAAGACAAACAGGAAATACTTAGAAAATATCAGTCACTTTAGGTAAGTACAATGTCAGTACAGGTGCTGTAGGAATAAAAACAGAGAAATGATCGTTGTAGGATCTGGTTAGTCTGGAAAGCCTCTGAAGCCATTAAGGAAATGATGGACACGAGCTGGCCGAGAAAGCACCTGCAGGGCATCTGGAGTGAGGATGGACTCTCTGAAGAAGAACAGAGACAGGAGACCCCACAGAAGCAGGTCCAACGGGAATGGACCCTCCTTACATAGAGAATGGCCTGGTTGGAGGGGGCTGGGGAACCCAGCAGATGAGCTCTGAGGCGGAAGAATTTACATTTGCCATGGCCGGTGACTAAGACTCATTATAGCATCCTGAGCAAGAGAATGACTTTTTTCTTTTTTTTTCTTTTTTTTTTTTGGTTTGTTTTTAAGGTAGAGATAAGAAAGACTCTCCTAATTTATTTTTTGGAATTATTTTTAAATGTATATTTATTTGTTTTTACAGTTGGGGATTATATACCGTGACATTAAGCTTGAGAATATTCTGCTTGATTCTAATGGCCATGTGGTGCTGACAGATTTTGGTCTGAGTAAGGAGTTTGTGGCTGATGAAGTGAGTATGAAATTTTAATTTAAAGTTAGTAATAACGGAATATAAACAATGATGAAAACTTAGCTATAGAAAAAGCATTTAATGGGATAGTACCATACGGATTATGGATTTTCGTGCAGGTTTGCCTACAGGAACATTTGGCATGAATGACTGCAAAGGTTTTTAGTTTAAAATTACCATGGAACCATCTTGTTAGAATTACAGTAAACCTTTGGTAAATATATCAGAATTCCTCAGTTTAAAACAAAATAAAACTATGCGTTTAACTTTCTTTATAAAATATAACTGAAAAATTTAAATAACCCTTTGGGGCCTTTGGGAGAATTACGGCTTAAGTTGCAGCCTATAGCGAATTAGAAAACAAAGCACGTATAGTTTGTATTGTAATTAAAAAGTAGGACATGTCATTTTGTAATGGTCCTTTTAATTCACTTGATAAGAATCTACTAGACTTAATTCTTTAATAATCTTGCCGGTTTTTTGCTGGTATAATCTAAAATTTAATAGTTAATGTGCAGATTTTAAATATAGAGAACTTTACATTTTCAGCATTGATTAGAAGTTGTTTAATATTACAAGTGCATTTAATGACATTTAAAATTGTACATCTATTGGTTATAATTAAATACTAATTATGTAGCAGTTATAAATATTATATTTTTATATTAGTTATTCAAGATAACTAAGTAAATATGAATGCCAATTCATTTCTATCCAAGAAATTATTGGTATAGAATACAGAATCATAGTAAAATTTTTCTCATAAAGGACTTGGCTATAAAACACATCATTCTTGGGTTCCGAATTGGGTGTATCTGTTTCTGATTGTTTGCTTTTTGGAACATTGTCAAAGTAGTCCTAGGTGAATTAGATCTAAATGCTAAAATTGTAAAAACTAAAAATCCCAATTTTTTTTATCATCTCTGTATTCATTCTATTCACTTGTTCAATAAATTTATTAATCACCTCTATTATACTAGATACTGGATAATACAATGATGAATAAAATGGAAATGATGTCTGCCTTCATAAAGCTGTAGTTATAACAATATATTATCTTTGATTAAAAAATCATATAGATTAGATGAATTTGGGGGGAATTTACTTCACAGTTTGATTTTTAATATTTTTCTCCTTCATAAAAATTTTAGTCTCAGTTTTAATAAACTGTGTCTGATTAAATATGTCTATAGGCGTTTCCTCACTAAACCCCACTTCAATTAAAAATAAAGAAGTAAAATAGTCATATACTTAAAAGGGAGAGAAGAAAATAGCAACCAGATTTTGGAAGATGGACAGCAGAAGTACTAGTTGTAACCGATATTCATTTATATTGAAATATCTTCTTGCTTGGACTGAGTTTGTTTTTTGTCCAGTTCATTCTACCTCATTGGTTTTTAGTTTAAATTGTCATCTTTGATCATAGCTGAATCCTAAGCCGGTAATGTGAGAAGCCCCAGAGCAGGCTAATTTACACCTCTGACCCCCAAGAAAGTCTCAGGATTTGGGGGCACCAGTAGGGGTGCAGGTGATACAGGACTCAGGAAGATTGGTTGGAAGTCTGTATAAGAAACAGGTAGCCCGCAGATCCCATGTCTGTGCCCTTCACCTAGGCAGCTGTGCCTTCCTTACCCTCATGGAAAACTGCAAATGTTAGGCAGACTGTGGGTTCAGGAGCAAGAGGAAGACCGCAAAAGTTCAGGGTCGAGGGCCCAGCTGGGGGTGAGGACACCATATGGAAACTAGTGAGTGAAATGAAAATTTGGTATGGAATACACAATCACATGTGTGGAACTCCCACGGCCTCTTTCTGCCACTTTTGAGGACAGTGGCTTCTTCCTTGACAGGAGTTTGCAGGATTCCTCTTTAAGAAACTGAGAACAGAAAATCTGCAGATGCTGTCAGTTGGTGGCCCATGAGCTGGCCCGGCCAGATCTTCCTATAGCCAGCCTAGGCCACAGAAGCATATTTGTGATGAGATCACAATTTCTTTTTATATTTTGAGTTCAGTATGTTTCGATGTAATTAGTCTCCTATGTCATACTTTGTATTTAAAAAACTATTTGGAGAAGGGGTCTTTTGGATTCAACAAACTGCCAAAGGGTCCTTGGTGTGTAAAAGACCCCCACATAGAAAGGTTTGGAGATCGCTTTTCCTCTCTCCGTGGAACCATTCATATAATCGCTCATTCAGTCCATCAGTTTTTATCGAGGGCCTTCTGCGTGCTAGGCATTAGACTAGGTCCTGGCGACACAACAGTGAAAAGAATCATTTAGCAAATCCTGTATTTATGGGCATATGTGTCTGATCATTTGGTGGGCTTCGGCCTTGTTGAACAGAAAAATGTTAGAAACCAAAACAGAAATCAAACAGGGATCAGAGTTGTTGGATTTCAATATGGATTAGTCAGACATGCTATGCGACTAGGTCAGCCAGGTCACTCCTCACCAGAGAGACTTGTGTTTTACTAGGCATGTCAGTGGCTGCTCCTTGGTAATGGAGGGCATTCTCATCAGATGCCATAATTTTTGAGCACCTAGTTGTTTAGGTGCAAAAATGAAATATTGTTAATCAATCTGAAGTGGAAAAGTAATATATAGATTCTCTTTTCACTGAATACAGTCTAGCTGCATTTAATACAGTTACATTGTCATGTGTTAATTAAGGTTTACAGTTTCATCTTCCTTTCATGTGCAAGACTGCCAGCTCTTAGCCGTAGGGAACATACTGTCATGCTAGGCTTCAGGTTTCATTCCGAGATTTTCTGAGTACCTTAAAACTTGATCTAATGGTCCTTTGCTCCCCTGATTCTAGCCGGCACCCACTTAGCAAGTTTTTCCACCTAGACTCTTTCCACCTTAGAAATATTACCATCAAACAAGTTCTGTTTTGATTAGCTAGCATTTCTTTTTAGTTTCACGTCTCAGGCCAACTCTCTTATATCGAACCATCACCTTTCTTGGAATGAGTTTCTTTTTTGTCCATTACTGTTCTACTTCTTTGATTTCTAGTTTAAACTCCAGTTTGAGGTTCTTCCTTGGTTTCTAGTTTATGTAAAGAGATTATATATCTCTATCTCTAACTGACCTCTCTCATTTTCAGCCTCTTCCTCTTGGACCCTTTCTGTCACCATTTAAGCATGCCTAGTCTCCTTATCTTAAAATTTTTTAAATGGAGGGACAAATGGAAGAGAGACTGATAAACAGATGACAAGATGACAAGAAAAGCAATCTTAGAATCCCATATTCCCTTCTAGCTGTTGTCCTGTTCTCTTT